GACATGTCCTCACAGAGACATACGAGTCCTCACAGAGACATACGAGTCCTCACAGAGACATGTCCTCACAGAGACATGTCCTCAGAGAGACATGCGAGTCCTCACAGAGACATACGAGTCCTCACAGAGACATGTCCTCACAGAGACATGTCCTCACAGAGACACACATGTCCTCACTGAGACATGTCCTCACAGAGACATGTCCTCACAGAGACGTGTCCTCACAGAGACGTGTCCTCACAGAGACGTGTCCTCACAGAGACGTGTCCTCACAGTCATATGAGTCCTCACAGAAACATGTCCTCACAGAGACATACGAGTCCTCACAGAGACATGTCCTCACAGAGACATGTTTGTCAGTAAAATCTCAGGTCAGGATTATATTTCACCTGTAAAGAAGCTGTGTGTTGTCAGATGTGTGTGTTGTCAGACGTGTGTGTTGTTAGACGTGTTTGTTGTCAGACGTGTTTGTTGTCAGACGTGTTTGTTGTCAGACGTGTGTGTTGTCAGACGTGTGTGTTGTTAGACGTGTGTGTTTTCAGCTCTGGTGTCGGAGGACTCACACAGGAAGTCTCCTTCAGGAAGTTTTACGCCTCAGAAACAAACGAGTCGTTCTCCTGGTTTCTCCATCACCATGGAAACACAGCTGTCACCATAAACTCACTCCCTGCAGCCGAGCAGACCCCAGATTATTGTGTTCAATCTGCAGATTAACATGGATTATTTATCTACTATATAACTCTAATAGTTAAATTTGACAGAGTTTGATTCTTACATCAGATTAAGTTTTTATTTCTCGTTTCTTCAGTACATCTGGCCCGGTTCTGTCTGAGATCAGAACCTCATCAGAACCACAGCGTTGGTTCACCTGTCGCCTGTTTTACAGGTGTTCAAAGTCAATTAAAGAAACGCTGCAGCTGTCAGGGTCTAAACATGATGAGGTCATATTCATGATTGACAGCTGCCTCTGACCAATCAGAGACCTGCTGAGCTCTGAGCTGCTGCTGCACCTGGACGTGAGCGGGACCGCCCAGAACGACTCTGAGGCTGCACCGAGTCGGACCGAGTCAGACRGAGTCGGACAGAGTTAACCCACGTTGAATCAAGTCAACCCGAGTCAGAGTCCAACCGACTCAACCCAAGCCAAACCGAGTCTAACCGAGTCAGACAGAGTTAATCCAGGTCAAATCAAGTCAACCTGGGTCAAACCGAGTCAGACCGAGTCAAATCAAGTCAGAGTCCACCCGAGTCAATCTTAGACTGTTTCAACCTGAGTCAAACTGAGTTTAACCGAGTCAGAGTTAATCCAGGTCAAATCAAGTCAACCTGGGTCAAACCGAATCAAACTGAGTCTAACCGAGTCAGACAGAGTTAACCCGGGTCGAACCAAGTCAACCCAGGTCAAACCGAGTCAGACTGAGTCAAACTGAGTCTAACCGAGTTGGACAGAGTTAACCCAGATCAAACCAAGTCAACCTGGGTCAAACCGAGTCAAATCAAGTCAGAGTCCACCCGAGTCAAACTTAGTCAGACTGTTTCAACCTGAGTCAAACTGAGTCTAACCGAGTCAGGCAGAGTTAACCCGGGTCGAACCAAGTCAACCCGGGTCAAACCGAGTCAGACAGAGTTCACCTGGGTCGAACCAAGTCAACAAACCGAGTCAGACTGAGTCTAACCGAGTCAGACAGAGTCAAACTGAGTCTAACCGAGTTAACCTGAGTCAAATCAAGTCAGAGTCTAACCGAGTCGGACAGAATTAACCCAGGTCAAACCAAATCAAACCAAGTCAGAGTCAGACCGAGTTGGACAGCGTTAACCCAGGTCAAACCAAGTCTACCTGGGTCAAACCGAGTCAGACCAAGTCAAATCAAGTCAGAGTCCACACGAGTCAATCTGAGTCAGACTGTTTCAACCTGAGTCAAACTGTCTAGTCAAGTGAGGGTCAAACCGAGTCAGACAGAGTTAACCCTGGTTGAACCAAGCCAACCCGGGTCAAACCAAGTCAGAGTCCAACCTAGTCAACCCGAGTCAAACCAAGTCAGACAGACTTAACTCAGGTCAAACCAAGTCAACCTGGGTCAGACCGAGTCAACCTGAGTCAAACTGAGTCTAACCAAGTCAGACAGAGTCTAACTGGGTCCAGTTTGTAAAAACAAGTCAGAAGCGTCTCGTCCGTCTCTGCTAGTTGGGGGAGTCTGCAGAGCACAAATGGGCGTGTCCTTTTTGAATGGGCGGAGCTAGACTCACAAAACAAGTTCTTCCCAATCCACAGCAGGATCAGGAAGTACATTTTCCAAAACAGGAAGTGTAACCCCCTGAGATGCAGAATATTAGAAACAAAACCAGTAGTTGGAAGTTGAAGCCACAAAGAACTAGCCCCCTCTAGTGTGGTCTTCTAGTTTTAAGCCCCGCCCCTCTCAGTAAATAATAAGTATATTTACCTCATGAAGTATAAAATTACACCTGACCGTTTTATTTTCTGTGTTTCTGTTATTTTTGTCAGAACTTTATTTAAATACTTTTAGTTTAGACCACAGATGGACAACTGGTGGCCCGTGGACCACATCTGGCACATGGGTGACTTCCGTCCGGTCCCAGCAGTTTGTGTTGGTGGTGGTAGACTCTGTGCTGACAGAGCAGAGGACCTCTGTGTTTAATACAAGGCTCCACTGCAACAAGCTGCACAAAGCTAAATATGAGACATTTACTGAAGTCACAAGAACATTTACCAGAACCAGAACCAGAACCAGACTTTTATGTCATTATACTTCAGATCGCTAAAGTAAGTTTATATTTTATGTTTGCTTCAAACATTTTGTTTTCATATTTATTAAACAAAATAACTTTTATCCTGTATTTGAGCTGAAATGTGTTCAGTTATATCAGTTTAATGAAGATAAATTTACAAATAAACACTTTAAAATGAGTTTTATTCATGTGTGTAAATGAGCAGCACCATGTGGCCCATCCCTGGTTCTGAACCGTGTCTGTGATTGACAGCCTGCAGGGCGTGTGGGCGGGGCTTGATCAGGTTCTCAGGTCTGAAGTTTAAAGTTTGAACAAACTGAGCAAACAGACACGTTCTGGACGCTCTGTTCAGCTGTTTGGACCGCACAGGTTCTGCTTCCGGTTCTGGAGTTTTTAACCAACTTTTAAAACTTTTTTTTTGTCCAAAGTGAAGAATTTACTCAGTAAAACCTGACGTGGGTTCGGTTCTACGAACCTGTTGCTGAGTCAGGACCAGACTGTCTGAGTGTGCGCGTGTTACTGCCGTGCACGTGTCACTGCCGTGCACGCGCACGTGCCTGCAGCAGTTTCTCGTTGACTCATTTCCTGCTTTTAATGCACAGTTCGACCCTTTGCCTTCACGAGGAGGGTTCTGGTTCTGAACCTGCAGGTCCACACTGAGTGGTTCTGGTTCTGAACCTGCAGGTCCACACTGAGTGGTTCTGGTTCTGAACCTGCAGGTCCACACTGAGTGGTTCTGGTTCTGAACCTGCAGGTCCACACTGAGTGGTTCTGGTTCTGAACCTGCAGGTCCACACTGAGTGGTTCTGGTTCTGAACCTGCAGGTCCACACTGAGTGGTTCTGGTTCTGAACCTGCAGGTCCACACTGAGTGGTTCTGGTTCTGAACCTGCAGGTCCACCTCAGAGGTTCTGCTGCACGTCCTTCTCCCCTCCAGCTGTTTCCAGGACCTGGTTTCTCCGGACTTTCCTCGGACCCGTTCCCGGTCCGGTGCCATGCAGAACCGGGCTGTGAGTCGGGCTGAGGCGGGTCGGACCTGAGGACTCGGACCTCCGCTGCTGCAGCAGAACTTTCTGCAGGTTCGGAGGGGAGGGGCAGCCCGGAGCGGACCGGGTCGAACCTGCAGCTCGTCGCCGGTGCCGGAGGAGTGGGTTCGGCTGCAGGATGTCGGACTCTGCGTCCAGTTTCCTCCACATCGGAGACATCGTGTCTCTGTACGCAGAGGGTTCTGTGAACGGGTTCATCAGCACCCTGGGGTGAGTTCTGATCCAAATCAGAAAAACTCCTTTAAAACGAAATAAAACATCTTTTATTCTGAAGATCAGATAAACACAACAACAACTACAGTTTAAAGTTACTTTAAATTAAAAAAGTTTTATCAGATCTTTTAAAAAGCTAATGTAAAAACCTGATGGTTCTGGAAGATGACAGATGGACTGAAAGGACCGGTTCTGGTCCAACACGTGTATCATCATCATCATCCATCGGTTCCACTTTAAAGTCCTTTCAAAATAAAGTACAGCTTGAGTTGTGTGAACAGCCTAAAGAAGAGCAACAACAGCTGCCACACCACATTCCAGCTGATTCTCTGTAAAACAGGGTTAAAGTGTGAGCTGTGTTTGGGTCAGCTGTGCTGCTTGAGTTCAGACCTGTCCTCAGGCTCAGGTGATATTTTACTAACAGGACAGAGTCTGAACTCTGACCTCAGCTGCAGCTGGTAACGTGTTAGTTTGTAATAAAACAGGGAAGCTTCAGATGTTTTTGTCTGAAACTGAAGGTCAGCTCCGGGAGTCTCTGAGGAGCTGAAGAACAACACACAAAACCTTTCTGACTGGTTTCTGCCTGGTTTCTGACTGGTTTCTGACTGGTTTCTGACTGGTTCTTGCCTCATTTCCCTGTCGGTCTTACCTGGTCCCTGCCTGTTTTCTCTCTTGGTCCTGCCTGGTTTCTACTTTGTTTTTAACTTGGTTTCTAACCTGGTTCTTGTCTTGTTTCCCTCTCAATCCTGCCTTGTTTCTGCCTGGTCCCTGTCTGGTTTCTGACTGGTTTCTGACTGGTTCTTGCCTCATTTCCCTCTCGGTCCTGCCTGTTTTCTGTCTTTTTTCTGCCTGGTTTAAACCTGGTTCCTGTCTGGTTTATAATCTGGTTTCTGCCTGGTTTCTACCTTGTTTTTAACTTGGTTTCTAACCTGGTTCTTGTCTTGTTCCTCCCTCAATCCTGCCTTGTTTCTGCCTGGTTCCTGCCTGGTTTCTACTTTGCTTTCTAACTTGGTTCCTGCCTTGTTCCTGCTTGGTTATAACCTGGTTTCTAACGTTGTTCCTGCCTGGTTTCTTTCTGTACCGTTGCTGCCTGGTTTCTACCTTGGGTTCTGCCTGGTTCCTGTTAGCTTTCTGTCTGGTTTATAATCTGTTTTCTGCCTGGTTTATAATCTGTTTTCTGCCTGGTTTCTCTCAATGGATCCTGCTTTGTTTCTGTCTGGTTCCTGTTAGTTTTCTGCCTGGTTTCTAACCTGTTTTCTGCCTGGTTTCTCTCTCTGGATCCTGCTTTGTTTCTGCCTGGTTTTTAACTTGGTTTCTACCTTGAGTTCTGCCTGGTTCCTGTTTGTTTTCTGCCTGGTTTTGTTGGTTTTCTGCCTGGTTTCTACCTTGGTTTCTAACCTGGTTCCTGTTAGTTTTTTGCCTGGTTTTGTTAGTTTTCTGCCTGGTTTTGTTGGTTTTCTGCCTGGTTTCTAACCTGTTTTCTGCCTGGTTTTGTTAGTTTTCTGCCTGGTTTTGTTAGTTTTCTGCCTGGTTTTGTTGGTTTTCTGCCTGGTTTCTAACCTGTTTTCTGTCTGGTTCCTACCTTGGGTTCTGCCTGACCCGACACGTCTGCTGGGCGGCACCATGTCTCTGGATCTTTATTCTGACACTGGTTCAGTTAGGAGGAGTTCTCCCAGCGTTCAGGGCCCTGAATCAGGTTTACAGGTTTCACACGGACTGAATCAGGTTTACAGGTTTCACACAGACTGAATCAGGTTTACAGGTTTCACACAGACTGAATCAGGTTTACAGGTTTCACACAGACTGAATCA